TGTTTAATTATAATTACGATTATTTTTCCGACTTTTCTTCTAATTAAAATTAACTCATTAATCAAAATTTAAAAGTACTGTTAGTGAGTGTTGTTGATATAAACTAATTGAATTGTCGAAAAACCAAAACGCGTTAAAAAAGATTTAATTAATATATTTGAATTATGGATAAATAATATATGTTTTCAATAAAACCTCTAGTTTTATTCTTTTCGTGACATCTTTAAATCCTAAGATAAGAGTTTATGAAATGAGGTCGAAAAAGAACCAATTTTGAGTTACAAGACTACTTATTACCTTCAAAGAATGGACGTTGAAAGGCATAAGAACTGATACAGACTATCCTCATGTGTACTTTACTTAATAGGTCTCCCGTCGTTGCAGTGATTTCTCCAATTCATTTTTTCTAGTCAAAAGGAGAATATATTATATATTAATATGGTACGCTCTAATAAGCTTTGACAGTTTTTCTTTAAAAAAAATCGCAGCAGTGAAGGGCTTAGGGTGTGTATCATTTATAATGTACGTTTACCATGATAAACTTTGGGTGGCTGTGTTACGAAATCCTCTAACGATTTTATAACACGTAAAAATTGTTCTTTTCAGTCGAATCTCCTTCTTCAGCCATAAAAATATAAAAATATAAATTAAAAATATAAATAATTTTTTGGGGTTTTTTTCTTCAAAATAATTTAAAATGAAAAAATTTAAATTTTGCACATTTTTAATTTTTTCGATTTTTATATTTATCTCGCTAATAAAAGCTTGGGGAAAAGGTATAATAAATTAGATATATATATCTATATAATACGGAATAAAATAAATTCAATAAGTTCAAAATTTTTTATATCCTATAATAAAACAGAGGATCACGAAATATTTGATTTGGTAGACGATTTAGAAAATGCAGAAGGGGAAGATGTAACTTTTTATTCATGGCTCGGAGTAGAACCTACAGCCAACGAGAAAGAAATTAATAAAGCGTATCGTAAATTATCTTTAACTTTACA